CCACCTCACCCATCCTAGACTCCTCCCCCTGGAGCACAGCAAGAAGCTGGTAGGAAAGTGGCCGGCAGCTCAGCTCTGTCTTTATGAAGATTGCTGGCATTCCCTGGATCTGCTAAGTTGACATAGAATAGGTTTTCTCATTATTTTCAAAATTTAAGGTCAGTTTAACTAGAAAGATCTATTACAAATGCCTCTGTATCCTCAAAAGCAGTTAGTTTTCCCACTTCTTGCCTTGAAGTTTTATAGGCTTAAACTTGTCTGCTTAACTTACAGTCTTGAGATGAATATGGATTCTTTTATCCAACAAGAGAAATTTCTGAGTACTTGCTAACACTTAACGATGCCTGCTGTTTTCCCTTCCCAAGCTTCCTATGAGTGAGGAGATGCAAGAATCCAGTCAAAGAGCAAGATGGACACACGTAGGATTCCATAACCATGAGAGTAGGAGCGGGTGGGGTGCTTGTTCCGCCTCAGGACTGGTGGTGGAGGCAGGAAGGTAAGAATCAGAAGAAATCTGGGAGACAGGAACAGCAGTGCAGAGCTGAACACTCTCACTGCATAGGCAATGAGGGTGGCAGTGGTGGATGAGGCCAGGGTGATAGGGAATTTGCTGGGGAAGCATGGCTTGTGCTGTGCTGCACAGTTAGGACTTAGAACAGCAGCAAAGGACATCAGTTGTTGCAGAGATTTGAGCATTTCACTTCTCTGAAAGTAAACGCAATGTTGCATTACTTAGAAAGGTTAACAGGATGGCATCTTTTAAGGAGAATTGAAGGGGGGAACGAGTCAGATGGGGGTCATTCATTAGCAAGCTTCTTTCAGAGGTTCAGGCATGACTGTAACTCCAAAGGTTTTAGATCAGGATGGTGAAAAGCGACAGCAGATGTGGAGGGACCTCGCATGACAGCGTCTCTACTAACAGAGAACAGAAGTAGAAGGAAACTCACATTAGCTGATGCTGAGGACCTGAGAACCTGTGGCTGGGGTTGAGTGTCTTTAGCCTAGGACCGGAGCTCCAGATGACAGTGTGTGTGACTATCTCACTCTTCGCTGCTGGCAGTGCACACGGCTCTAGGACAGATGGTGATCATTGCTTCTCTTTACTTCGCTTGTGTCTCCTGGCTTCCCTACAAGGTCCCTACCAAGAAGACCACTTAATGGAGATGTTTTGTTTGGGAATTCTTGATTATGAGACTTTGATTAAGCTTTTCAAAGTGGAGCCTTTGGAAATTTGACTCAAGTTAGTAGATAAAGCAGTGGGGGAAAATGAGAGTTCTGTGGTCAAGTGAATTTGTAAACTACTTTAGATTATCTTACAGGCTTCTTTCTTTTCATAGGATAGCAAAAGCATTGCCACGGGGCCAGGGAGATGACTCAGTTGGTAACGTGCTGATGTGCAAGCATGAGGATCCCTAACAGCCACATAAAAAGCATCATGGTGGCAGAGGCCTATACTATCAGCACTGGGGAGGTAGAGACGGACTCCTTGGAGCTTGCTGGTTAGCTGGTTTAGCCACATCAGTGTGTTCCAGATTCAATGACTATCTCAAAAATAGATCATTTTAAGGAAGACAACCAATACCTGACCTCTGACATCTACATGCTCTCCTACATGCACATGGATGTGTACACACAGAGAAACACTTATAGTATACCTAGACCCCTCCCCCACAGAGTGTTATTTATCATAGAGAGGGTAGATGGTAGCACAAGCTTAATGAACCATGAGCTCTTTTGGGAAGGAACACCCCAAGGGAAGAGGAATACAGAACATACTTTCAGAGAATTAGGCACTGGAGAGTACATCTTAGAAATAAGCCTCTGTGGTGATTGAAAGGAAATGCCACCCCCCCACACACCAATGACTGGCACTCTTAGGAGGTGTAGCCTTGTTGGAGTAGGTCTGGCCTTGTAGGAAGATGTGTGTCACTGTGGGGGCAAGCTTTGAAGTCTCTTGTGCTCAAGCTACCCGCAGTGAGACAGATCACTTCCTGTTGCCTGCAAGTCAAGATGTCTGACTCTCAGTTCCATCTCCAGCACCACCTTGTCACACCGTGATGACAATGGACTCTAGAACTGCAAGCCACCCAATTGTTTCTCTTTATGAAAGTTGCTGTGGTCATGGTGTCTCTTCACAGAAATAGAAACTCTAACAAAGACAGCTTCTTACACTGGGCATTTGTCGTGTAAAGGAAAGAAATAAGAGACTGGGGTTTGGGTCTGGAATCTACTGACAGTCTGTGGCAGGTCACTGGGCTCCTCTCAACCTCCCAATCCCAGTTTCCTTAGGTTTTTCTCTTATACTGGATGAATTATTAAGATCCTTTCAAGTCCAGAAATCTGAGGTGATGGGTATGTGCAGCAGAGGGAAGAGAACAGTGACTTTTCTTCTCTGTAATAACTGGAGGTGGAAACAGGAATGGGAGGTACAATGGTGATATGATGTGGGTGGAGTCCTTGAGCTGATTGTCTGCTCAGGGTCGGCACTGCTGACAGTTACAGAGAGAAAATGGAGTCTGAGTCTGTTTTCAGGCCTCTCCCACAGCGTTCTCAATGCTATTCCCCTTCCCAGTCGCTCTCTCTCTCCGATCTTCTGAGCTGTTGAATAATAAATTAGCCTTCTGGGTTTGAGGTTCATTTGTAAAAATAAGGAAGTATGGTTGGGTCAGAGGACACATGGGTACTATTCTTTCCCTGCTGACCCAGGTCAAGACTGTCTTCAGTGTTTTACCTTCTGAGATGGTCTCACCCACTTCCATGTTTGTTCCTGCCTTAGGTGGTTGATTAATCCATTAACGGACAGCACCACACTCACCTGAATGTCAGGCTCAATTTTCTGTCTCTCTAAAGGCGATATCTAATTTTTCTCTTCATAAGAAACAAAATTCTTTATTTTCAGTCTCTCTTTATGAACAGAGAAGACTTCCTTTAATTTTCCCAGCTTCAAAAAAGGAGAGAAAGAAAGAAAGAATGAGAGAGAGAAGAAAGAAAGAGAGAAAACATATTTCTGATCTCCCCAGGCTTCTCAGACTTTATCCCCCCACTAGTTTTATAATGGTTTAATTTTCAATTATTTATTATTATGATGATGATGATGATGTGTTTGTGTATAGGGTTGCTCAAATGCCTTGTTGTTTCGTCATGCTGCATGTGTGAGGTCACAGGATGTCTGTACTGGCTGGTTTTGTACTTGATACAAGCTCTATTCATCAGAGAGGAAGGAGCCTCAGCTGAGGCAGTGCCTCCATGAGATCCAGCTGTAAGGTGTCCTTTCTCAGTTAAGGACCAATGGGAGAGGGCTCAGCTGCTGGTGGGTGGGGCCATTCCTGGACTGATGGTCCTGGGTTCTGTAAGAAACCAGGCTAAGCAAGTCAGGGAAAGCAAGCCAGTAAGCAGCACCCTCTAGGGCCTCTAAATCAGTTCCTGCCTCCAGGTTCCAGTCCTGCTTGAGTTCCTGTTCTGACTTCCTCCAATGATGGACTATAATAGTCAAATAAACCCTTTCTGTCCAACTTGTTTTTTGTTCATGATCTTTCACTGCAGCAATAGAACTAAGACAGCATCACATGTTACCTCCATTCTGCCACACTGATGCTGTGTGCAGAGTTTAACATCTGAGGCATTCAGTGTACACCCAGTTAACTGGAGGAGTTGGTGCTTCCTTAGCTTCTATATCAGGGGAGTTGTGAGCCAACAGGATTACCCATTTGCCATCTCGGTACTGCAGGAAAAGCACTTTGAGAAGTAGGACCTTGTTCTGCCCGCGTGTCAACATGAGGCTGATGGGAGAGAACGTCTTCAGAGAGACTGCTGTTCATAAACAGCCCTGTTCACTCAGCCCCCATCCTCAGACATGCTTTCCTAGCAAGAAGCCCTGCTGCAGAATGACAGGGATCTAAGGCGAAGTTTAGCTGTTGAAGTTTTCAGCTGTGTGCTTTGTTAGGAAACCAGAAGATGAAGGAAAACTGTCTTTAGCTACACAGTATCTATTCTTCTTGGTGTGGTCACTCTGTGTCTATTAGAAAATGATGCTTATGTAGTCATTCTGTTACCCTCCCAAACAATAGATACCACATAGGGTTCATACAGGCGCGCGCACGCGCGCGCGCGTGTGTGTGTGTGTGTGTGTGTGTGTGTGTGTTCATATTCATTCAGTGGGACACAAGGGATCAATGGAAAGAGATACGACTACAAAGGAGGTTGATTTAGAACTTGCACCAACTTGTAAAACAGAAGAACCAAGTGAAATGCAGTTTTCTGTCCTCTACCTTATAAATTGAGATCTATACATTCATAGCAAGCATGCATATACAATTATATATATATATATATATATGAAACCTACATATATGTAGAGTATTCCTAGACAACTATTCAGAACAGATAACCAGTTACATGTAAGTCAGAGGATGATAGTCTGAAGTACACGTGAGATTTACACACGGGATGCCGTATGGGATCACTTCGAGTCCTTGAGACCCATTTGGAGATCCATGTGATAGTTATTTTCATGATAATGCCAAAATATCTTTTGCTTTCTCCTCCCTCATTCTCCTGTGAGTACATGGAGGAGCTTTCCAGAGGTTAACTGACACGTGATACTGCACCAAATTGAATCCAGAAGCAGATGATAATCCAGCTGTTTTTGGAGAGGTCAGATGTTTGGGATCTCAAAGCATGTAAAATGATGTCGTTCTTCTCACAGATTTCCTGGGAAAATTTGTTTCTCGCAGCAATTCGTATTTATGTTAGCGTGATTGTCATCAAGGAATATATAATAAATTTAGAATGCTGTTTTAATTTATAAATCAGTCAATATCAGGAGATTGAAATGAAACTCGCTTGAGGTTCTCTGGGATGTGCCCAGTCCCGTCAGAGAGCCTCAGCTGCTTGGAAGCTTTGCTGTGTACTACAGACGAGGATGCTAAGGGGGAACAAAATGCAAAAGAAACAAAATGTTATAATAAAATATTGCTTTTCCTCCCCCCCTTTCCATCAAGGGAAATCTACAAGTGGCCTGACATTTGATGCTCTAGAAAGTTCTGGGGCTTGCTGCTTGGATTCTCTTAAGAAGCTGAACTAACCGAAGAGGAGCAGGGGCCTTCTGTTTTGGAGGGTTCTGTCCTACAGAGGATGCTCTACACCCATTGACGTGAGTAGTCTGTCACTGTACCTCTGTTGCCACGTGATATTGGAAGTAACCACAGTCAGGGTGTGGCTCACATCGAAACACCATCTATCTTGGTTAATGCTGGACTAGCCCATCCTAGTACTCAAGGGAGTGTTGGATTCCTGGGTGTGTTTTCTAATATCACAGTCTCATCACTTCTTATGAGTTGTTTTCTTTCAACAGTAATTTGAAATGACTTACAGAAAAACAATATTTAGAACCACCCCAACCGGTATCTAGAGCAGTAATCTGTAAAATAGTTTTAGAGGAATCAATAAATGCAAATGCCTACCTCAGAGACATGGAAAATTTATATACTGAGCCAAGACTCGAGGCAGAAAGAGAAGCATGCTTACACTGTAGAGATTTCACCAGGAGTTTCCCCATATGTCAAGGAAGTCTGTCGGAGGTAACATCTGGTCTCTGTGAATCTTCTCACCTCACTCTTTGGGCAGGTCAGATCTTACCGCAGAACCTAGCACTCTGGCAGCTTCGTGGATCTGAGACCTTTCTGCTGTAGAGCTCACTGATAACAGAAGCTCGTCTCCTTCATGCCTGCATCCATGTCTTTAGGACCTTGCTCAGGGGCTGGTCCGTGGAGGCTGCTCCGTGAAGACTCGCTGCCTTGACAGTCCTGGTCCTGAGCCCTCCCTATCCTGGAGCTCACTGATCTAAGATGCCCCAGCTGCTTCATGCCTGTATCTTTGCCTGACACTTGAAGGCTTTTCAGTGAGGATTCCTGGCTTGCCTTAGACTTGCCTGTGTCCATCACTGTTTCTGGAATGTTTTGAGCATGTGAATGACTGAACGCATTGTGTAGGACTGGGAGGCAAATGATTCCTGGAGACAGGGAAAATTCAGTGGTTTTTTTTTTTTCCTCTCAGGAGATTTTTATCTTGTCACAGGGATTCTCTACTATGTACAGTTTTCTGTTTCTGACCAAGCAAACTCCTCCGTCCTTGTGGTGATGTCATAGTTTAAAGAACTCTTCCCCCAGATTGTCTCATCAGTCTCCCTCCTGTTCTCCTTTCTTTTCTTCCTTCCTTTGACAAATTCCGAACCAAAAGCTTCACAGCTCATATTTCAGAATGAATAATTCATAGCTATGCTTAGCCACTAATCAGAAGTTATTGCAGGGTTTCCTTGTTCCCTTAGATTTTCAAGCATTATTTGTCTACGAGTCATCCTTTTCTGCCTTTGAGAGGCTATCATTGTGCTCTTATTTCCTCTACTGTCCGTCTGAAATAACTATTCCAGAATCCATTATTTCAATATGGAAGTCATGGGCTAAATATAGCCCTGCGGCATAAAGCTTGTTTTGTCGTTCCCCCAACCCCTAAACCTTTCACGGTGATGCACTGGGGGTTATTGGAAGTATGCTCGTTTCTTCAGGTACCAGCCCTTTTTTTTTGTCACCGGTTCAAGTTCTTTTGAGCTACCGGAAACAGATGGAAAGCTATTGGGTGGGAGTGGATAGTGGAGGGAGACAGTGGGCAAATTCGAATCAGGAGAAAGGACAGAGTAGAAAATGGGAAACGTGGGGGGGAAGTGAGCAGACAGAGGAAAAAAGAGAAGAGAGAGAGGAGAGGTGAGAGGAAGACACGGTGGCCAATTATACCCACATTATATATACATTTCAAACACTCAGGTTCTGGAGCAATTGACATTGTCTCCCCGAGAGCACTAATGTCCACTAGAGATCAGACTATGTGCTATGAAAGGTATACTTTAACCACACAAGCCAACAGAGTTCAGGAAGCTTAACTGCCCAAGGCAGTTCCTCTGCCAGAACCCATTAAGCAAGATCGTCAAAAAGCCTTGAGCTCTGGATGACTCGCTGCCAGCTCTTCTTCCTGCCTGTTTCAGTATGGATGCTGACTGTTCGGTCATCTTACCAATAAGGAAACAGGAAACTGACCCTTGTTAAGCTCCAAGCAGACTGACACAGTTGTATTATCTCTGGTTGGGAGCTCCGCCAACAAGAATTTTTCCTTGAATTTTCAACTGCAGCTTGATTTTTCCTGCATGCCTTAGAAGTTCTTTCCCATCACAGAGACCTAGGTATGGTCTGTTCCTGTTTCGTTCATCTGTGACGGGAGACAGTGGTCCCATGTATCTTAGAGGACATGAAGACAGCACTGCCTGGGGTGTTGGAAGTGGGAATGGCCGAAGGTTGAACAGAAACAAACATGGGAGGCATCTGCAGGCTACTGTGTGAATTGTGGCTGTGATGAAACACTGTGGTTTTTGCGGATGAAGATCCATGTCAGGATGATTTCAGAAAAGGTGGGGTTGGGAGAAGTAGCTAACTAGAGGGTCCACAGCTGTCATAAGCATGCCACCAGAGAGTGAGGGGATCCCTAGAGATAGAGGAGAGCAAATTCGTCAGAGGCAAATGGAGGTGAAACGCTCCCAGGTTTAGGCATTTCTAGATACACAGCTCCGAAAAGTGTCAGCTCAGGATGGATGTCAGCAACAGAAGTAGAGGGATGGTGGACTGGAGGCCAGTAAGTGCTTTATTGCAGAGATTCACCAACTTTGGATGATATTTTTACTCGTAAAATGGGAATGTTTATTGAGCGTCTGTGATGTTCGAGGAATAGTGAAAGTATTTGGAAGAGGAAGACGTTGAACTATGTACCTAAAAGATAACCCCAGATAAGCTATTTAGTGGCAGAAAGGGAAAAAGAGAAAGAGAGAGAGAGAGAGAGAGAGAGAGAGAGAGGCAGAGACAGAGAGTGACAGAGAGAGACTATATCAACTCAAGAGGATGGCGAAGTAGGAAAGAAGGCCACAACGGCCCTTCTTTCTGAAATATAATAGAAGAAATGCCCTGCACTTGAAAGGCATGGAGCTTGAGCCAAACCTTGGAGTTAGGAAGGAATTCAACATGTAGAAGGGAGAGCATGGTCAGTTGTTATTGTTGGAGCTGACTTAGGCCGCAAGGACCCAGAGAGACCTGGCTGGGCACGTGAGGTGGAGAAGAGAGGAAATAGCAGACTACTTGGAGCAGAGGGTGGGTGGAGGAGGGGTGGATAAAGTTGCAAAGAAGAGCAGCTGCCAGGAGGAGCAGAACCCTGAGTGCTGGCTGGGATAGGACATCTGGCTGCCATGGGGACTCAGCATTTGTACTGTCCCTGCTCTGGGTGTGTGTGGGGGAGGGGGTGGCTTTACTTCTAGAGATGTTTATTCCTGGTGTCTGTCTTGTTGAGGGCAGGTAGTCCTGAGTGACGTTTGAGATGTCATAAAAATAAACTTTGGGAAGAAATATTATCCTTTGGGCCTGATACTATACATGCAAGCATACTTTGAGCTAGTGTTTTCTAAGATTTCAAATCTGCTAGCTTTGATTTGATATTTATTTAAGAATCAGCTATAAACTCTACTGCTCTCTGAGCAGAATGTGGACTGCTAGAACGAAATCTTATTTTCATAGTTTCATCTCTCCAAGTCTTACACCTTTTCATATCATATTGAATATTTTAGCTCCAGTTATGAATTGTGGGGAATAACATTAAGCATTCCACACTGGCAATGGCCACTGAATTAATACTCAAGCCTGAAGCAACTCTAAATCCCTGCTTCCCAGCGCACAGGGCACAGAGTTTCAGAAGAAACTCTGAGAAGTATGCTTGAACTCGGTGGATAAAAGCATCTGTCACACATGTTTGATAACCTTGGTTTTATCTTCAGAAGTCCCAGTGGAAGGAGAGAACTGACTTCCAAAAGCTGCCCTTTAATTTCCACATATGTGCAGAGACACGTATATGCCAAGTCATGCACGTACACACACACACACCACCACCACCACCACCACCACCACCCTACCACACACTAATACAAAGGAAGAAACAGTCCTTTTGGGCTGGTTGTCGCCTGTGTTTTCCATCGCAAAGGCAGTACTAGTCCCAGCCCACTTCTGGTCTGGCCTCTGGGCAGCCAGATTCAGATGTTTCCTTCCTTTAATTTCCCAGGAAGAATTGCGCCACCTGTGTCTTCTCTGGGGTTTTTGGATTGTGAGATGATGGCACCCACACTTCCTAGAATAGCTGCTTGTGTGCGCCAAGCATATGAGACTGCACACAACGACGGAATACAGGGTTTAGGGCCAGGAACAGCAGAAGCTTGAACCGGGCATCTGTTCCACAGACGCAATGAAGTCCAGAGGTTGTGGGAGGTGGGGGCGGAAGGGCTGGGCAGAGTCTCTTGAGGATGCGGACACGAGTCTTGAGTGTCCTAACCTGGCTTTTCTTCTAGAACAGAATTTCAAAGGAGGTAGGATTAGGAGGAGGCAGGATTACCTGGAGCCCAAGAGGTTCAGCGTGTTCGATTCTGTGGCAATCTGCTATAACTCTGGGGCTTTAAGTTCCTTTTTTCTCTGTCTACATAGCATACCACACAAATGATGTTTTGAGAAGGTGGACTAGGCATGAGTGGAGAGCCCTCTTTCCTCCTCAGGTGTAGAATCCGACTCATATCTTGACAATTCTGAGAGATTGTAGGCATGAACTCCTTGCATGGAAAACCACCTGACCTCTCCCAGGAAACCCTCAGGGACTTCCTTAAGGAATTTGACATTCCTTATATCTGGAAGGCCTCTTCCTACAGATCCTGTAGTATTTTCCTGTTGTGGCTTACTCATCTAAAAGCATATGATTTTTGTTTTTCATGAAATCACTGCAAAACATTAGACCTTTGTTCCCACGTAGGTGACAAAGAATTGGCATCCCTGAGATCCGTTGTGAGATGTTATCAATTTTGCCGTAGGGAGACTGGATTTCATGGCAATGTGTAAGAAAGACCAAAGGGGAAGGTAGGTAGGAGCTGCAGGTGCCTGAATGGTGCCCAGTGAGAGGGCGAGGGGGCTTGCAGCCAAACAATGCCAATCAGAAGAGAGAGGAAGGGGCTTTGGCTGCTCTGGAGGGTGGTGACTACAGATGTACCAGCTCTGGGATGGACAGAGGTCAGCCAGCCTCCTGTGG